TGAGTCTAGTGAATTGTAGGGCCCTGAATGGATCCTCGGGGTACCTTGAGCAAGCCTTAAGCTGTTGGCCAGAACTTCTTGCCCCAGAGCTGTTATTGGTACTCTTCCTGCCCCCTGAAGTTGTCATTGGTACTCTTCCTGTTTTGCTAACACACACCTGGTGGGGAGAAGCTAAGCCTGAAAATCCTGTTATTTTCCACTCTGCTGCAAATCAGTATAAAAGCCCACTCCATCCCCTCAATAAACAGCATTTGGCATTCCGACACTGCCATTCAACAAATGACCCTCTGTCTTGTCTCTTATTTCAATCTCTAGGCCTTCACCCAATTCATGGAACAGATTATAGCACGGGTACTACAGTGAATCATAATTCCCATGCATTATAAGTCCTTATACTTCTCTCCAAAAGGCAGAATTATATGCTATTCTCATGGTGGTAATGGATCATGAAGAACTTCTCAGTATAGTTACAGATTCAAAATATGCAGTTATTTTGAGTATTGAAACCATTGAATTTATACCAGATGATAAAGAATTGACTTTATTATTTATTCAATTACAAGGCATAATCAGGAATAAGAATCATCCCATATACATAACACATATCTGATCCCATACAAACCTGCCAGGCCCTCTAGCACAATGATGAAATTGATCAGCTATTGATAGGAACTGTGCTAAACACCTCAGAATTCCATTTAAAAAACATCATTTCAATAACAAAGGTTCAAAAAAAGATTTTTCCATCACTTGGTAACAAGCCAAAGAAATTATAAGGAAATGCCCTACTTGTTGCTTATATAAGCAAACACCACTACCTGCGGGAAGTAACCTGAAGGGTACTCAAAGGAATGGAATCTAGCACATGGATGGGTTCCATTTTATAGAATTTTGAAAATTACAATATATACACCACATCATTGACACCTATTCAGGTTTTCAATGGGATGATTTGGTAATTATACATTTGCTAGAAGTCATGCCCATCATGGGTATACTTGTACAAATAAAGACAGACAATGCTCCAGCATATGTCTCTAAGAAAATGAAACAGTTTTTTGCTTATTATAATTTAAAGCATATTACAAATATACCACACAATCCTACAGGGCAAGCAGTTATAAAAAGATCAAATTTAACTCTAAAGGATATGCCAAATAAACAAAAGGGATGATATAGAACCCCAGAAATAGATTTCATAGTGCTTTATTAACTTTGAATTTTCTGAATGCTAGTAAGACAGGAACAACAACTGCAGAAAGACATTGGAGTATAGAAAAAACAGCTGAATTATTATTTGTAAAAGCCAGAACCTGGAAGCAACCTAGATGCCCCTCAACTGAAGAATGGATTGAAAAAAAATGTGGTACATTTATACAATGGAGTACATTTATACAGTGGGAAAAAAAATGGAATCTTGAAATTCACAGGCAAATGGATGAAACTAGAAGAAACCATTCTGAGTAAGGTAACCCAGTCATATAAAGATAAGCATGGTATGTACTCACTCATATATGGATATTAGACATAGAGCAAAGGATTACCAGCATATAATACACACCTCCAGAGAAGGTAGGATACAAGGAGGACCCTAAGAGAGACATACATGGTCCCCTGGAGAAGGGGAAAGGGACAAGATCTCCTGAGCAAACTGAGAGCACAGTGGGAGGGGAGAGAGTTAGGAGAAAGAGAAGGGGAGAAGAGGAGAGACATGAGGGAGCAGGAAGATTGAGTCAGGGGAAGAATAGAGGAGAGCAAAAAAAGAGATATCATAATAGAGGGAGCCATTATAGGTTTAAAGAGAAATCTGGCACCAGGGAAATATCCAGAGATATGTTAGATGAACCCAACTAACAATCTAAGCAATAGTAGACAGGCTAACTTAAATGCCCTTCCTCTATAATGAGATTGATGGCTACTAATGGAAGATGTCATTCTGTAAATATGTTTCTCTTATTGGTTAATGAATAAAGCCCTGTTGGCCAATAAGAAAGCAAGATAGGAAGGACTAGGAGACAAGGAAGTTTGGGGAAGAGGTAGGAGGAGTCAACATGTAAGACCAAGAAAGCAGAGGTCCAGGCCCTCTTTCCAGTAAGGTAAGACCAAGTGAAAATACTTAGATTAATAGAATGGGTTAATATTTAAGACAAAGTAAAAACCCTGCCTCAAAAAATGTAAAAATAAAAGTTAAAAAAATAGAATTATAAAAAAGCCACATAAAGATGGAAAGCACAAAAAAGATTCTGGATACTATATGGTATTGTGTTGTCTTTGTATTATTTGACTGCTGAGGAAATAGCAACAATTGTTAAAAGAAATGCTGCTAAATTAATCCAATTTATATATTTTAAAAATGCTTTGACTTCCAAATTTAAGTCTAAGGACAAGTTACTGGGGAAAAGAATTTGTATTTTTGTTTCCACAGAAAATAAAAAACTGTGGATTATTCCAAACTAACATGGTTTGATCAAACAAGACCCTCTGAAGCAATGTTCCGGGTGATCCAACATTCAAAACAGCTGGGAAAAGGCAGCCTTGCAGACCACTACAGCCAGGATTTCTGCATCTTCTTAGGCTTCTCCATGACAGTGCCCCCTACCATCAGGAAGCAGTTTGGAAAGAACAACACCTAAATTCCCAAATATTGTGTATAAATGTTTGTTTTCATTTATATGGGGTTGGTTTTAAATTACTACAACCAATCTCTCTTTAAAGGTAAAAAAAAAAGGTATAGATATATAAATATTTGGTTTTGGAATGGATTTTCATTTATTGATACAAATTTAAGGTCAATTTTATGATATGTCTATTTCTCCTCTTGTTTAGGTATTGTGTTTATAAAACTCATATAAAATGTATAATTTAGTATACCTATAATAGTCAAAACTTATAGTTAAGTGAGTTAGGTTTTCTAGATATATTGAGATATATTTGAGATGAATATGCATTCTTCAAATCTTTCAAAGACCTACAGAATATGGCATTTAAAATGGTTTAGGATTTTTCTTAACAGTGAGGCACAACTCTTCCTAGCAACACCACCTGTGTCAGAAAGGAAGATGAACATAAAAGAACTTCATTATGGAGTTTGCTTTCAATATAGCAAGATTAGCCATTTGGGCAAAATACTGGACTGTTTGACTTTATGCTATATAAAGTAGACATGCAAGACCCACAGGAAAGTGACTGCTGATACAAGGTGGGCATTGCTACAGGGTTCCTGCTTCATGGAAGAGTCTGCCAGACAGTCTGCAGGACACAGAGAAAAGTGACTGACAAACTGCCAACACAGGTGGGACATTTTAAAATTTGTTGCTTTGCTGAGGAGTCTGCCAGACACACTATGGCCTATGGGCTGAAGATGGAACATTACAGAAGAACTTCAGGTGACTGACCAGGTAGCAAGATGTCTCTGTCATTTCTAGAGTTTATATATTATCCTTCTGTGGTCTTTGATGGAGTTGAAGACAGATAGTTATGGTTATACTTTTCCTTAGGATTAAAGAGAAGTTACATATAGAACTTTAGACTCACAAAGATAGGATAGATGATGAAATATTTTCTGTAAATCTTGCTAAATGTTAATGGGCTAAATATTGTTAACTGTGGTTCTTATCTGATAACTGTTTTGTTATATATTTTGCTATGTTTTAGACAGAAAAGAGGAGATGATGGGAGATGTCATTCTGTAAATGTTTCTCTTATTGGTTAATGAATAAGGCCCTGTTGGCCAATAGGAAAGCAAGATAGGCAGGACTAGGAGACAAGTAGGTTTTGGGAAGAGGTAGGAAGATATTCAACATGTAGGACCAAGAGAGCTGAATCCCGGACCCTCTCTCCAGTAACATAAGACCATGTGGAGATACTTAGATTAATAGAAATGGGTTAATATTTAAGACAGAGCTAGTCAATAAGAAATGCTAGTAACAGGCCAACAGCTTTATATCTAATACAGTGTCTCTGTGTGTTATTTGGGGCTGGCATGGCAATGAGACCAGGCTGGTGGAAAAACACCACTCGTAACAAGCTACCTTATATGCCATCACAGAGCCTTCATCCAGTAGCTAATGGAAACAGAAGCAGAGACCCACACCTAAGCACTGAGCTGAATTCCTGAAATCTAGTTGTGGAGAGGGAGGAGTGATGAGCAAATGGTCAAGATCATGTTAGGGAAACCCACAGAAACAGCTGACCTGAACAAGGAGGAGCTCATGGACCCCAGACTGATAACTGGAAAACCTTCATAGGACTGACCCAGACCCCCTGAACGTGGGTGTCAGTTAGGAGGCCTGGGCAATCTATGGGGACCCTGGTAATGGAACAGCATTTATACCTAGTGTGCGAATGGACATTGGAAGTCCATTCCCCATAGAGGGATACTCTCATTGCCTAGACACATGGGTAGGGCTTAGGTCCTGCCCCAAATGATGTGACAGAGTATGATGATCCCCCATAGAAGACTTCACCTTCTATGGAGCAGAAGAGGGATGGGATGGGGGGTCAGTGGGAGGCATGGGAGAATGGGAGGGAGAGGGAACTGGGATTGATATATGAAATAAGATCATTTCTAATTTAAATAAAAAATAAATCTACAGGGAGAAAACATAAACAAAAGAAAAATCAGCCTCTATATTTTAAAGATGTGTTGACCTCCAAATGTAAACCAGGACATGTGTTAAATTGGGGAAGAGGTTTTGCTTTTGTTTCCACAGGTGGAGGAAAGCTATGGATACCATCAAAATTGATAAAGATTAATTTTTAACAAGGTAGCACTTAATTAAAAGAAAATTTGAGTAAGCACTGAGGATCAAAGTGACAGTAGGTAACAATGTCGCCCTGTCTGTCTGAAGGTGCTTAGGAAGATCTTAAATGATCTAACACCATAAACACAAAACAGGCAACTATGTCATGTAATAGAAGGTGTTGTTAACCTGATTGTGGTAGCCACTGCACAATGCATTTCCTTATCAAATAAAGACAATATAATATTAGTATATATATATATATAATTTATTTGCCAATTATACATCAATAAATCCAACGACAGGAGCTGAGAGAGAGAGAGAGAGAAATGAGTAGAGGAACCACACCACACAGTTCTATCATCAATTAAGGCTTTAGGAATCTAAGAATGGACAGAGAAGCTGGTGTGCTTCCACATATGCACAAAGGGGATCCTGTATAGTGTCTGGTATATTCTCATTATATAAGAAAGTAAAGGATGAATAAGTAAGTATATTCGTGGAGCGGTATTATCATAGGTATACCTATGCCTAAATAGGTATGCCTAAAACTTGGCAGGTGTCTATGTAATGGCAGATAAAAATGCAATCACATGTCCATGGAGAATGGTTTTTCATACGTATATTTTCTTCATCTGACAAACTGACTTCTGTTTCACACTGCAAGGGATGTCATTCCAGCCCCAACTAGAACGTGGATGATTTACTATAACACATTGTTCCTTGTCGTTGTTGGGATCACCTGGGTGCCAGAACCTGAAAGGGAGGAAAGGTCATCAGGGTGTTTCCTACAGCAATGCTGGGAAAGAGAAGGCACAGTAAGCAAGTCTGAGGATGAGGCTGGAATTTGTGGAAATCAGATTCAAGTGTGTGCAAAGCAGCCATTCTCCACCACCCATATCTGACATTTCCCTGGAAAACACAGCCCACCACATTCAAAGTTCTCTTAGCTTGTCACTTAACTGTTCTCCCAGGACACATCCCAGAGGCTACTTCATCCCTAGGTCTTGGTATCTGGGGCTGTCATTCCATAGGTGCTTATTTACAAGCTGAAAAGGTCTCTCCTTCTCATGTTTTAATAAAGTTTTTTCATTTTTAGAACAGTATTACTTTAGAAACTGGAGAACTAGTTAAAATATGTAGACGAACTAATTATTCTGTCATCTAGGACAAGTAATTTAATATCCTGGATTCCTACTTTTCTTCTCTGAAAACTGAGAACAACAATACCATCACTAACTATTTCTCAAAACAGAAATCAGGATAAAATATGGGAAAATACTAAGATATTCGAGTTTTTAAATAATTACATAAATATAAAACACAACAATATCAGATTGGGGCTTTTGATTTGTGAAAAATAATCAGTTATGATCTTGACATTAATTTTTGTCATGAAGATATAAATAAAAGCTGAAGAGATGGTTCAAAAATTAAGAATGCTTGCTACTTTTCCAGAAAATGTGAGAGTTCTGTTTCCAGCACTCATATTGGCGTGGCCATACCACCTGTGACCCCTGCTCCAGGTGATCCAACAACCTCTCATGGGTTCCATGGGCACCTACATACACATGGCACACACAGAGATACACATGCACACACACAAACAAAAGTAAAAATGGATCCTAGTTTCTAAAATAGAGATGAGTGCCTGAAATCATAACAAAACACACCTACGTGTAAGCACCTAGACTGTGTACACCGGGTACCTATCATTCCACACTCTTCAAACTCAATTTCCTCATCTCTTCTTGAGCATCAACAACACATGTCTCACAGGACTCCTGTGTTGAGTACATGGGGCTAAAAGTAACTCCATCCCCAGCAGCCACACCAGGACTGAGCTGCTTTAGTTTCACAACCAACAGCTGGAACACCCTAAAGTCTTCTCATGCCACAGCACCCAGGCCTCCTCTAGGTAACTCTAGACTCACGTGGCACTTTCATTGTATGGTGTCTGATCAACCCATCGCCACTGCCGATGACCTGGATCCGAAAGCCCGATAAAATAAGCATCATGAACATTCAGGATCTTGGTGATGAAATCCTAAAGGAAGGAAAGATGAAGTATTCAGCCTGGATGGAGGGCTGCTGTTTCTTTTATAGAAGTTTTATACACTCTTTTAAAAATTATTATAACAACATAAAATTATAGGTTCAGTGTGATGCACATATGCAAATATATAATAATCAAACATAGTTCATCTCTCCAACCCTTAAACAGTTTTCAAATTTTAGATTCATACACAATAATTGTACATTTTAGAGGTACTCTGTGATACTTTTTTCTGGTCACACAGAGATGAGAAGACAAAGAAAGGATCAAAGACCAGAAGGGCCACCCCCACCCCCAGGAGGGCCATCGTCCCCATCTGACCAGGACACAAAGTCATCACCCATAGGCCTGATTTCCATGTGACTGGAAACAGTCTCTGCCATGATCATAATAATTCTCATCTCAGACTCACTCCCCTCTTTTCTTCCCCAAGACCGTTCTTGAAAGTTGTACATGACAGAATTTTGCAGATGAATCATTCTCCATTCATAACTTCGGATATTTCCTTTCTGATGGCTGGCTGTGACTGCTGATTCCATCCCATTTCCCTAGTCAGCTCTGCGCCCTCCTCTGTTAGGCAGTTGCTACTACAGGAAGCATTAGAGGGCTGGGATGGCACACTGGTCTTTCAGGCAGAAACATTTCATCCTTCCCTCCACCCTCAGGCCTGGCATGTCTGTTGCCATGGTTCCTTGTGGGCTGTTTAGCTCCACTGAAGCAGGAGCAAGGTGTAGAATGCCAAGGCTGAAGCTACCTTTCCGGCTATTGGATGGAAAGCCTTCTGCCACATCACCAACTTCCATGTCCGCAAAACTCCCTCTCAGTAAAATGAGGAGGCAGACACCAGGCAGGCCCCAGGCGCCACTCCCTCCCACAATGCACCTGCTCTTCCTTGCTGTGGACCACCATCAGATGAGCGCCCATGCTGGAGCACTTCTCCTCACTCTCGCTCCAGTTTGCCGAGGCAGTGGGAATGAAGTAGCAGTGGGAACTAGATGGCTTCCAGTCCTTTGGGCAACAGCTCCAGACTTTGTCTATCCGGGAGGAAGGAGATTAAATGCAAAGCACAGTGTATAAATATTGCATAAGACGGTGCTCAGAAGAAAGTGATCATACCAAGAACCAAGAAATTCTCAAACGAAACAAAACAAGAAGTGAAACATCAAGGAAGAGGGAGAAGAAATAATATAAGAGCCAAATGATGGGAAGGAGTGTTCTCTTCTGGACATAACGTGGTTGTTGCACATTACAATCACAGTGGTGGTGACCCACCTGAAACTGAGTCCATCATACCCTTCCTACAGGACCTCAGCAGTTAAAGGTTGCAGAATGACGAAGTCTTGTTCTTCAGTGGTATAGCCGTGGATACACTGCTATTGAAAGGATGGAAAATACAGCCTAACTCTCCAATGACCCCAGGAAGCTAGAAGTTTCGAAATACTACCTAAGAAGCCCTAAAAACCTCAAATTCCAGACCCTGTCCTCTGCCAGTAAATAGGCAAAAGGCCACCTTCCTTGCCGCTTACGACAGACAGGCCCTTGAGTACGTGATCCTGGCATAGTAAGATAATGGGAAATGAACTGACTAACAGCTTATCCGACATCAGTAAACTTCTTGTGAAACCCCCACCCCAGTGACCTATCTTAACTGTCATTTGTCACCCCACCCAGGAGCCTGTGCAAATGCAGACCTCTGGGGCTATAGAAAACTGATTGGTCTATAAAGTGCGGGCTTGAATGGTTTAAATTCAGTGCAGGCTCTTGATACTTAGGATGATTGGTTTGCGATGTGCACGCTTTGTTGTAAACTCTATAAAAGCTGTCTCAGTTCTGCACTTGGGGTCCTCAGTCCTCTACCCCTGTGTGGTGTATGACTGTGGACCCCAGTGCACTTGAAATAAAAAAGTCCTCATGCTGTTTGCATCAAGACCGCTTCTTGTGAGTGATTTGGGGTGTCGCCTTTCCTGAGTCAGAGCATGAAGGTCCTCGATCTGAGGGTCTTTCACTATCACTCAAATAAAGAACCCCTAACCATGCATGCTCATGCAAGAAATCCTCCCTCAATGCAGTGAGTCACAGAAAGCAAGACATTCAATTAAGAGGAAGAAGTAGGAAGGGGTCTTGGAAAAAGGAAGGGTCTTGGTGGGAAAGGGCAGGCGATTAAAAGAGAATAATGGCAGCCTTTGATCAAAGACTGTGTCTCCTAAGAATGTCAGGATGTACACCCATAAAGTCTCACCACCAATACTGCCCAAACATGAGCTGAACAAGGACAACAACAATAGACATGCTAACATGAATGGGGTGTGAGGCAGGGAGTCTACAAGGCCTCATCCCTACACAAAGAACTACAGGCAACTAAGGAATGCTGAGAGGGAGATGTGGTCCTCCCCAGGGAAGAGCACACCCACTGGTTATCCAATACCAAATGGTCAGCCCTGAAAACACACATACAGCTAGCATTCTACATAATGAGCAGGTTATACTAGTGTACTTAATTTTTCTTCAAGGAGAGCCTTTGGGAATAGATAGATAGGTAGGTAGATAGATAGATAGATAGATAGATAGATAGATAGATAGATAGATAGATGGATGTATATGATGTACACATGTACATATGTAGCAACAATTATTTTTTTAAAAAGAGGCCATTAACTTGAAAGCAAGGAGTAAATGGGAGGGTTTGGATTCAGGAACGGGAAAGGGGAAATTATGTAATCATAATCAAAAATAGAAAACATAATTTTAAAGGCTTCAGTGAGAAGATACAAACATCTTTGAAAATATAAAAAGCAGCAAAAAAGCAGATGTAAAAAAAAAACAAAATGGAATTTTTTTACTTGAAAAAAATGTAATAACCTTTTCAATTTACAATAAATGGAGCCAATAGCAGAGGGAGGAAACAGACAAATCAGTGAACTGTCAAATAAGACCATAAAAAATACCAACTTAACAAAAGGGAAATACACAGATAAAATAAATATAGCCTCATGTTATGATCCCAAATGGGTATATATGAGATAACACAGGACCAAGATTTGTGAAGTATAAAGTGACACATGGGAAAGGAGAAAAGAGGCACTCAGAGAGAGAGGACCACTCCGAAAAACAGAAAGAAAGAGTGTTAAGGGAATGGTGGAAATAAATCATATGTCAGCAAATACTATAAAACATACAAAAAAATCTTAGAACTAATTAATACACTTCTAAGTAACATAGGTGTCAAAACATCAAAGTCTATTTTAAAAACACATTTAACTGGGCTGGGTGAGGCTCAGTTAGAGTGTTTGCCTAATGAATAAGAAGCCCTGTGTCCCATCCACAGCACATCATAAAACCAACTGGAGCAGGGAACACTTATGATCCCAGGATTAGGGAGGTGGGGGCAGGAGGATTCAACGTTTAATGTCACCTTCAGCTACATAATGAGTTTGGGGCCAGCCTGAGCTGTGTAGGACTCTATCTCAAAATAAAACTGAACTGAACAAAAATGAAAATACGGAATGTCAAAACTTGTAGGACACTATTCTTCAATAAAAGGATTCAGGGCTTCTCAGTGAAATGGCTGAGATGAGGATGGAGACTATCCATCGAGAGTCTAGGACAGAGGCTTTCTAAATCCCGGAAGTTAGGAAGCAAACTGTTGACAGTGATATGCCAAAAACACAGGACCAATGGGAAGTAGTCCAAATGCACAAAGGCAGAAAACACAAAAGTGTCAAATCATAATACAATAAATGTTTGCCGGTACATGCAGATACACGTGACTAAGGACAATAATTAATGGATAGAAAAAACAAATCAAATGCATAAGAATTCCTAAATAACAACTAAACACTGAGCTGAACTGGAATCCAGATGCAGAGAGGGAGGACAAGACCACGCTGCAGAAACTCACAGAGACAGCTGACCTGGACAAGGAGGAGCTAACAGGCCCCCAGACTGAAAGCTGGGAATCCAGCATGGGACTGACCCAGACCCCCTGAACATGGGTCTCAGTTAGAAGGCCTGGGCAGTCTAAGGGACATCTGACAGCGGAACCAGGATGTATTCCATGTGCACAAAAGGACTTTGGGAGCACATTCCCCATGGAGGGACACTCCCTTAAGTTAGAGGCAGGAGGGAGGGCCTAGACCCTACTCCAATTGACTTGACAGATTTAGATGACCCCTCCTGGAAGGCATCACCCTACATGTGGAATGGGGGGGGGGTGAGAGAAATGGGAGGGGAGGGTGGGGGAGCATGGGAGGGTTAGATGAGAGGAAGAGAGGGAGGGAGAGGGGACTGGGATCAATATGTAAAATAAGAAAAATAAATTTTAAAAAAATGTTTTAAAAAAAGAATTCCTAAATAATACATCTCTAGGTCTAATGGCTAATAATCCAAGACTTAATGTGTCCTGGAAATACTTATATGTAGGGTGTTTACACTCTGCATTTGACAACTGGATTCAAGGCACATTCAGTTTTACCTTCCTTAGATGAGTTGTTTTTCATACAATCCAATCTTGTGTGATTCAGTTGTTCTATAGTATTTTTTTCTTCAAGAAGATCAGAATATAATTGAAATAAAACTGGAAAAAAGAACGAAAGATAGTCATTTTCCTGGTAGCACTGTAATTTTACTCCTCACTCATGTCTTCCACACACACACTTTTTGTTCGTTTGGTCGGTCAGTTTGTTGGTTGGTTGGTTTTACAAAACAGGGTTCCTGGCTGTCCTGGAACTCACTCTCTAGAGCATGCTGGTCTCAAACGCACAGAGATCCACCTGCCTCTACTTCCTGAGTGCTGGGATGGAAGGTGTGAGCCACCACTGCCTGGCGTTTCCTGGCGTTTGGTTCTTTGAGGCAGGGTCTAGCTGTGCAGCCCTGACTCATCTCACACAGTTTTCTCGCCTTCCCCCCAGAGAACTAGGCCTGAACCCTCACTCTTGGCTATCACTTTAATGAACCAAACCAGCATAGTGATCGATCGCAATTTGAAACGACTCCTAGATACAAGTCAGGGAGATAGGGGGCTGGGGTGGATCTGGGAGGAACAGGGGGAAAGGATGTGGGTGAATATGACCAGAATACATTGTATGAAATTCTCAAACCATAGAAATGTACTTTTAAAATAAGGAAGATGGAAATACTTTTTGTCTGTGATTTGCAATGAACTTTTTTTTTTAACTGACTGCTTTTCCCTTCCCTGACTACACCTATTGCCCTTTGACCCACCACATCCTGCCTGTTGTTCTCATTTCACTAAAACCACCCTTGAGCCAAACATGATAGCGCCTACACATAATCCCCGCCTGGGGAGGGGGGAGACAGGAGGATTGCAAATTCCAAACAAGCCTGAACTCTGTGTATCAAGTTCAAATCCAGTCTAGGCTACAAAGTGGGCCGTGGTTTTTTTTAACTTGACCCCAGTTCTCTCCCTCCTCAGCCCTTGGGACTCTGCTCTGTTGTGCCTCACCTTCCTCGCCTCCACTTCTTACTGTCTCTTATAATCTCCTCTCCCTCCATCCACCCCTTTACAAACACAACATTCCCCACTGCTCCATTATCCTTCCTTCTCATGCTTCCTTCCGCCAAGTGAGGCCCACGGTCTCACCTGCTACCCAATGTGAAGGTCTGGGAGACCTCAGACCTTCCCCCCTGACACCCAGACCAGGGTGTGCTCACTAAACACGACACTTGAAGATAAACTCAACACACTCACAAGTCAAATCAACATCTTCTATCCTAAACCTGCCCCTTGCCCTGTATTGTCTTCCTGTGTCAACACGCTCATCGCAGCTGAGTCTACCAAGTCCGGGTGTTGGAGTGGCTTTGCTTCCCGGGTCCATCAGTCCTGTTTATGTCTACCACACATCGCTCCATTTCTTCTCCCCTTGGGGCTATGTGTTCTAGACAAGCTTGCTTAGTTTTCCCCATATTTTCTTATGCTCTCACACTTCCAGGACACTGCTATTCCACACAGGTCCAGATGTCACCTCCCCCGAGCCTACCTCAGCCCCCTGTGCTTACACCCAGCCTGCACAACACTTCCTGTACAATTTTGTAAAAGTAGCTTCACTCGGTCACTCTAAAGTTTTTTAGAACAGGGGCTGTTATTCTGGACTCTAACACACTGTGTATCACACCCTAAGTGGACATTACCAGTTATTGAGGGGAAAGATAAGCTCAAATACACAAAAATATACTAATTTTGCACTTTTATTTGTAGACGAGGTCTCACTATATAACCCTGGCTGGCCTGGAACTCACAGAGATCTACCTGCCTCTGCTGTGCCTTGCCTTTATTTTTTTCTTTGCTGAAAGCCACCTGTTTGCTAAATTGGCTTTGATCTCACGCAGTCTGGAGCAGGAATAAATAATTAGGAGTTCTGCCCCTGGAATCGCTTCACCCATCTCTTTTCTCTTGCTACTCATTCCAAAATATGAGTGCCTGTGTGTCCATGGGGCTGGCTTCTAAACGCTGCTGGGAAGCACAGACCGGTCCTCAGTACTGGAGCCTAACACACAAGCCCAGGGTTTCACTCTATCATACCAACAAACACACCTGTTTCTCCAGGGAGAAAGAATGACTTTACAGAAGAGTTGTTCTGAGACAGAGCAAAATTCCCAATGCCATCTACCTCCCCAGGGAAAGCATCAGTCTCAGGTTTCTTGAGAAAACCACTGATAATTATCTGTTTCTAATGGGTGTCTCTCTTCCTACAAGATAGGCGTTGCTTGCTTACTCCATGGACATACTTACTGTTCAAAGCAACAGAGGACAAGATTGCCAACAGCAGGAAAAATATCATTGAGGCAAGAAGCAGCGTGGGACAGCCAGGACTATTTTTGTGAATGGTGGTCTTCTTTGGGGGAGCTAAAGGAAAAACCAAATTAAATCAGTAGTGAACTCTGTCATTTCTTCTTTGTCATCTTCTTTTCTACCATGAAATATTAATAGTATGGACTCTTGAAACAACATAAAAATTGAATAGGAGAGAAACAATGCTGTCCATTGGATAAAATGAAAGCACAAGTTTCTATCAGTGACAACAACTCGTTAATGTTGATATTTAAGAGACACATGTGAGTGTAGCTGTATATCCTTTCACAGTTTTAAAGTGCATATATATGCATGCATATTTCCCCATATGACTGACATACCACAATCACGCATTTCTGCCCTGTTATTTTCCTTCACATTGTATTATGAACATTTTTCTGTCACCATACCTTCTTCTTTAATATTCTTTATTTGGCTACATACGTTGTATATTTAAATAATCTCCCAAACTGTCTCCAATATTACTTTAAAGCATGCAAAACCAGGTAAGTCACATGTTTAGGATGTGGTCTAAGGTTATCTTTTTAGCTACTATCTCTTGGTTAGAATCCCTCTTCTGGGTTGAAGGGGACCAGGAGGGAGGGTGGGGGAGAGCTAGGGATATGATGTGTTTGTATAAAATGCCATAATGAATCAACCGGTTGGTTTGCATGCTAGCTAAAGAATTTGTTTTAAAAAATAAAATTTTCTGAAATAGTATAGACCCCTGTAACTCTAGTTACAGAGCTTATATCCAGCATGTGTGACCTCCTGTATCCATTGCAATATGAGTAGACACATTGCAATATGAGGACACTCAAACTGTCCTTCAAAATAAAACTGCCTCCAAAATACAAAGTAATTTCTTAAAGTTATAGTGTGCTGTCAAGTAAGCAGAAAACTAATAACTTCAGTATAATATCACAAGAATTTATTTTCAGTGGGCCGGTGGTGGCACACGCCTTTAATCCCAGCACTCTGGAGGCAGAGGCAGGAGGATCTCTGTAAGTTCAAGACTAGCCTGGTCTACAAGAGCTAGTTCCAGGACAGGCTCCAAAGCCACAGAGAAACCCTATTTCAAAAAAGAAAAAAGAAAGAAAGAGAAAAGGAAGAAAGAAAAAAGATTTTATTTTCATGGGGAAAGTATAGTTTTACATATATCAAAAATGCATGCTTTCTCTAAATACGTCAAAAATGATGCAGTAGAATTCAGACTTTCTCTAAATGGTGAGAATAAAGACAGTAGTATCACGAGCTCTTGTCTTTTCCACCATACAAGGCAAACCCCCTTCAAGCTCTCCACAAACAATTCAAGTAGGGAGACTCCTGCCTCCGTACACAGCACTCAGACAGACAGCAGCGAAGATGCCCCCAAGCCTTGCTCAAAAACACTCCTTCTTCACCTCACCATTAGCTTAGACCACCAGAAAATGAGGTTGCATTGTTCTGGAGGTGGGGGAAGTTTACCTGGCGATGAGTCTGAGACAGTGCCTGAGGAAACTGATTGAATTTTGAAGTTCACATCTGTGTATATGTTTGGTGAAGCCATATTGAGAAGAGACCTGCTTTCTTCAGAAAGCCCGTGTCATCCTTAATTTTTTTCCCTTACAAACAAGAAATAAGCATGGTGATAAGTATACCACCAGCAACTGGAAGCTTCAAAGGCGCTACACGGGCAAAGTACCTCTGAGACTACAGCATGAAAATTTAAAGCCACAGGGTGAAACTCTCTGGTTCACAGAGAGTCCGATCCCCACAATCAGAAGAAAGAATCGCAAGCTTTAAACCTGTTTGGGGTGGATATGCAAATACTGTGAAACGTGGGCTGAAAGGGGAAGAGGAAGAAACAGGAAGAAACGGAAAAGAGGAACTAAGCAATGGTGTATGCTGAGACCCGAGCCCTCCATTTCCACAAGCAAATACGATTTCTGAAAAGCAGCCAGTGTGAGCTAATGCTGCTAATACTGTACCCACAGCGCCCTCTTTAGCTGGACAGTCGGGTTCTAGGTGTCACTTTCTGAGACGCTCCTTGACCTGGCTGCTCTCCAGCTGTGTACAATGTGCACGACTGTAAAATGGGGCAGATTATTATCCTTTCAAGGTCAGTGAAGAATTGTGCTGGGATTTTAATGAGGATTGCATTGACTCTGTAGATTGCTTTTGGCAAGATTGCCATTTTTACTATGTTTATCCTACCTATCCAAGAGCATGGGAGATCTTTCCATCTTCTGGTATCTTCTTTATTTTTTAAAGACACAAAGTTCTTATTATATAGGTCTTTCACTTGTTTGGTAAGTGTTACCCCAAAATACTTTATGTTGTTTGTGGCTATTGTAAAGGATGATGTTTCTCTGATTTCTTTCTCAGCCTCTTTGTCGTCTAAATAAAAGTAGAGTTACTGGTTTTTTGTTTTTTGTTTTTTGTTTTTGTTTTTTTTTTTTTGAGTTTATCTTGTATCCTGCTAGTTTGCTGAAGGTGTTTATCAGCTGTAGGAGTTCCCTGGTAGAGTTTTTTTTGGGTCGCTTATGTAAACTATCATTTCATCTGCAAATAGAGAAAGTTTGACTTCTTCCTTTCTAATTGGATCCCCTTGATCTTCTTTTGTTGTCTTATTGCTTTAGCTAGAACTTGTGGATTCTAAGAGATTCATATAAGGTCCCTCACAGAAGGGGGAAGGGACAAGTTCTCCAGAGCACATGGGGGGGGGGGGTAGTGAGTGGAGAGGGAACTAGGAGAAAGAGAGGGGGAGGAGAGGAAAGCACGTGGGACTAGGAAGATTGAGTCGGGGAGGAATAGGAGACAGAAAAGAGAGAGCAGGAGAGAGAGAAAGAGAGAGAGAGCATAAAAGAGGGAACCATTATAGGATTGAAGAGGAAATTGAACCTAAAGAAATGTCCAGATACCTACAAGACTGACTCCAACTAACAATTTGAGCAACAGTGGAAAGGCTACCATAAATGCCCTTCCCTGATAATGAGATCAATGACGAATTTATCCACCATCATGGAGCCCTCATCTAGTACCTGTTGGTAACAGAAACAAACACCCACACCTAAACACTGAGCTAAACTAGAATCCAGATGCAGAGAGGGAGGACAAGACCACGCTGCAGAAACACAGAGACAGAGGACCTGAACAAGGAGGAGCTAATGGCCCCCAGACTGATGGCTGGGAATCCAGCATGGGACTGACTCAGACCCCCTGAACATGGGTCTCAGCCAGAAGGACTGGGCAGTCTAAGGGACCTCAGACAGTGGAACCAGGATGTATCCCTGGTGCATGGAAGGACCTTTGCGGACACATCCCCCATGGAGGGATACTGCCTTAACCTAGAGACAGGAGAGAAGTCCTAGTCCCTACTTCAAATGACTTGACAGATTTAGATGACCCCTCCTGGATGGCATCACCCTACATGTGGAGTGGGGGGGGGAGAATTGGAGGGGAGGGTGGTCAGGGTGCATGTGAGGGGGAGAGAGAGGGAAAGAGGAAGGGAGGGAGGGAGGGTTAGAGGGAGAGGGAACTGGAATCAATATGTAATATATATATATATATATTTTAAATAGTTTTAAAAAAAAAAAAGATGGGCCAGATTTCCTATGTCTCTCTGGCTCCCAACGTCTGCAATCTGTGTTCCTTCTTTGTATGAGTGAGGAGCTCCTGAAACAAGCCAACCAATGCCATGCCCTGGGATGGGCTCTGGACTTCCTTTTCTGCTGTGTCAAGTTCCCTGTTTGCTTTTCTAGTTGAGGCAGGGTCCGGGTGTCAGCCATCTCTTCCAGCTGTTCCTCAGCTTTCTCTAGAGTCTCTGCGGAGACTGCCTGGATGTCATCTACTGTCTTCATTCACGCTGTGTGCTGCTCCTGAAAGTAACCCTGCAGCCAGGCATGCACCCCACATATCCAGTGTCTCACAGCTGCTCTGATCTTCACAGGCACATGAGGGCTCAAGGCACTGGGTGATTAACCCTTACGTGTCTTCCCTACTGGGTCAACACAGTTCTTTTCAACTCAAGAACAGGAAGATATGCTTCGTAGGGCTTGGCTAGGAAGCGCAGGTGCCCCCAACACACACACTTCCACACTGTGGGGTTGGAGGGAACAGGCCCTCTATTAGTAATGTGGCAAAGTTGCAATAAGCAAGAGAAACCACGGAAAATCTCAGAAGTAGACACCAGAGGTGTGGCAGAAGAAAAAGCCAAATGTTAACAAATCAACAGGCATTCTTAAAATACCTGAAACTCAGAAAACAAATGCTAGATATAAATATAGATATAGACACATATATCTATACACATATAGATATATTTGGTTTTTTGAGACTGGATTTCTCTGTGTATTCGTGGATATCACGGAACTTGTTCTGCAGACCAGGCTGGCCTCAAACTCACAGAGAACCCACTGCCTCTTCCTCCCAAGTGCTGGGATTAAAGGCCTGCACCACCATCTTCCAGCCACATTAGATATCTTAAACTGAGTGCTGTGAAATATTTAAAAAGCTATCCAAACAACTAACTCAGAATAAACCAATGAACCATCCACCAAATCAATGGTGGTCCAAGCCCCAAAAGGAATTCACCAACATCCACCCAAGAGACATTGGAGGATGGTTGAGCACAAGGGGCCCATACAGGTACCTGGTGGCAATCTAGGAAATTTCTCTAATGAAAATGAACCATCGTGGGATCCCACATTCAAGTATCAAAAGCTGTTAACCCAAAATCACAGCTCTCACCTCAAGGAAAGTAAGGGACAGATTCTGGAGTCAAATGTGAGTGACAATAATCTGGGAACATGGAGTCATGTTCCCAACACCATGTTCTAAGGTGCTGACAATTTCATAAAGTTTTTACAGTTTATAGCAAAGAGACATAAACTGGAGTGCTTTCAAATGCCTTCGTGGTGTAGAGACATGGCTCAGCAGTTAAGAGCACTGGTTGCTCTCAAAGAGGACTAGGGTTGGTTCCTAGCACACATGTGGTATTTCACAACCACCCTTAACTCCATGCCAGGGCATCAGACGGTGGGGATCTGCCAACCTCTTTTGACCTCCAGAGACATCAGGAATGCATGTGGTACACGTGTCTGCAGGCAAAACACTCGCAAATATAAAATGCATCAAATTTTTAAGTATTTTATTTTATGTGTCTGGGTATTTTGCCTGCGTGTATGTCTGTGTACCATGTGCAGGGTGCACTTACATAAGAGGGGCATTGGGTCACCTGGAATTGGATGGAGTTAGAGACAGTTGTGAGCTGCTGTGTGGGGGCTACAAGTTGAACCTGGGTCCTCTGGAAGAGCAGCAAGTACTCTTATCTACTGGGCCACCTATACAGACCCATAAAGTTAATGAATCTTAAACATTAATTAAATTACATTAGTAGACAGTTATGGCAAAGTGGGGTTGCGGGCCTCACATGCTCTTGAATGACATTTTCAGATTCTAAGCTGGCGGAAGCTAGTGGTTAATACTTTCCCAAAGGGTTTATGTAGCAGTCACAAGAATGTTAGGTAAAACACGGAGGTGGGCAATGAATGATTAATAAGGGATCTAAAAAATATTAGAAGATAATGTGGTTCTGGGATGCTGCAGTACTCCAAATCTCCAGTCACGTGCGTTCAGCCAATCATCCCTGGAGAATCTCCACATGGGTGATTCTTTCTTTCAGCTCACACAGTAAAGAGGGCATCCATGTGATAGATCTGGATCAGGAAGCCCAGCTTCAAGCAGGGTGAGAAGGGCATTGAGAAACATGAAATCATTGAATAGGACTGCACAGCCCCCATCTAGCAGAAGAACACATAGAAACCAAAGTCTGGGGAGCCAAAGCAGAGGAACTTTCTCACAGACTCCAAGCTGCTCATAGATTGGGAAGAGTCTCACAGAGGTAGATAGGACATGTAAACCCCAAAGAAATGTACAGAGGAATGGCCAGCATCCGCCTGCAAAGCATATGCACTGTACCAGATCCATCAAAGGAAGATCCTGAGGGGAGAACAGAACCACTACTGCAGGGGCACTCCCAGGAGTGGGACAGGTTTCTGAGAGCTAGGGAAGCGACAAGAGGCTTGCCAGAAAGTTCTCATGTTCTTTGTTCGCAGCAGCTCTTTCCGGCCATATCTATTCTTCCCTTATTTAACATCCAGAATTAGTTTAGCCAGCTGCTACATCGCTCAGTCCTGCTGTTTTTGTCCTACATCCCTTCTATTCCTTGTTACTTTTGTTTTTCCCTTTACCTCTCTCCTGAAGAACACAGGCTGGCCTGATTTGTAGGGTCTCCATGTCCCATCCTCCTGGAAGATGGTGTTTTTAACAAAATCTCAATTGTTCAATTTTACCAATAAAGATTTGGGATCCAGATGCTGGGGTGAAAACCTCTAGCTCAGAGAGGCAGAGAAAACACCCAGCTGACCTCCCTCCTCAGCCGATGTCCCAGAACCTCTCTCCTGCCATCTCAAGTCTCCTCAAACTCAGTGCCCCTCTCCTCTACTTCCTGTGCACCTCTCTCTCCATCCTCCTGACTCCCTCTTACTCTCTATGGTTCTTTTCTCATGTCAACTTCCTGACAATTGGTCACTTGCTCCACCTCTTGACCTACAGTTGACTTCATATAATCCTGTTTACAGTATTCAAGCATAGAGCTCTTAGATTAAAGGGCTGAGCCACACCACAACTAGAAATATGTGTTTCCAGTAGTTAATACAATCTCAAGGTTCACAGTGTGATCAAATATCCTATAACAGGAGGGTCAGGCTGTTGTGT